TACAAAAATCACAAACTTGTGTAAATTTAGCTGCGTAAAATGCAAAGTTAATCTGGGAAGAAAAATTCAGTCCTTGCTCGTGAATTTTAGGATGTTGTAATTAAAATACTTTTAAGCACAAACATCTTCATTCTCTTATTAAGTTCTTTATGAAAATGGAAATAACAGTGTGTAATTAATAAATTAATTCGAGGACAGAATTTTGTGAGAAGACAAAAAAAGAGAAACTTGTTGTATATGCGTACATATAGTTATCTCATAAATGCACTTATTTGAGGAACATATATTTTCAGTGCCTTATAACAAGAGCAGAATGATAAGTTTCCACATCGTGAACTTTGAATCCTTGTGGTAATTTACGGATCTGTTTGTATAAGTAAGTGACTTAACGTACTTATGCTACCTAGTGCTACAAAGATTTACATTAACAACTGAGCTTGTACGTTTTAATAACAATGCTTCATATCTGCGACTTAATGTTATATTTTGGCTGTGATGTAAATATTTGCATTATATAGATTATTGATGGGGAAAGTATTACGATAATTGTTAGCTGCTCACTATTGTAGACGATTCAAAACCTTACTAAAAAAAAGAAATGTAAGTGATTCAGTAATGCAGTGATTACAAAATGTAAAATATTAGATTTATCAAAAGTTAAGAAACCAGTTAGCTTCTGAGTAATTAGCTTTATTCTGACAATGATTCGCAATGACAACACTTACTTTCTATGTACTGAGAATTTTTAATATTCTTCTTGAAAACATTTTGAGATTTCCTTCGCAAATCTCTTCCTTTCAGATTATGAAAATATCACTAGATATATTTAATTAAAATTTCAGAGGATTGTATAATTTTTTTAAATAAAAAAAGCTATACGAATTAATTTTTTAAAGCATTTCTTTCTAAAGATATAGTCAGTTTGTAGAACAAGCATTGATTTTAATGCTAATTAGCATTGATTTTAGTAGTAATGGTAATTAAAGATTGATATTGATAACTGCCAATTGATTTTTACTTAATGACACCTGGAAATTGATAATGATAGTTCGCAGTTGGTTTTAGTGGTAATGGTATTGGTTCAATTCCATTTTTTTTTTAAATATTAAAATTCGAAATGCTGTATTTAATGAAATTGAAACCATTAATTAAACGATTTAATTTCATGAAAAACTATTCATTTCTCCGAAGAAAGCATTTAAAATCACAATTTGGGCATTTTTAGGTCTAGTTTTACTTATTGGACAGATTTGTATCTGAAATGTTCCAAACTGCTTGTCAAATTCAGAAATAATTGACGTTGTTGCAAGACAACCGCAATGTTTCTTAGAAATTCGCTTTTGTAAAACCAGTTTGGATAACTGTTAATTTAAAAGCACAACATTTTATTCGCAGATCTAAAATACTGCTCTTAGTTTGGTACTTCAAACCTTCTATGGGAATACACAGGTGCTGATATTGCTCTAACCTGTACCTCTGGATAAAACTTAAAGTATTAGAATCCGTTGCATTCTAGACATATTACTAAATTATATTATTATAAAATATTATTATCTCATTCTGACGTCTAGTATGGTTGACTCATTTACAGAACTTCGATTTTAGGATTATGATTAACTGTTCAGTAAGTACTTAGTAACAGCAATCATTTTGAAAGTCAACTTATATTCTAATAGTTTACTAATCTTAGTGTTTATATTCAAATTAAATTCCAATTGTTGAATATAAAACATTGCACTTAACATTAATCTGAAACATGAGTTTAGCATTTTTCTTTTACACTACAGGTACTTTCATTTGTATTAAATTTATCATATCGCTCTCATTCGTATGTAGCATTAATTACATGAATATTTTAATTATATGAAAGGTATAAAAATTTATAAATCATGTGTACTTTTTCAGATATACCAACTTACCAATCAGTGGAAAGAAGAATTTTCTAATCAGTTCAACTTGATTGGGTGCATGTCACGCAATATCGTGCAGGGGGTGAGAAAAAATTACATCGTCCACTTGGTACCGAATCTGAAACCCGAACCCAACAGAATCTCTCCCCAAGCCATCCGTTGCATTCCCACCCAGCTGTTGCATGCATGTTGATCCCGTACCACGTGTTGTAGAGCTGATACGAAAATTTCCGAGTGACTCAGTCTTCCGTCGACCCCCTTCAAACGATGGCGTGCGTCATCCCCGATCAGGAAAACGCCCGATATCCCTCACCCTCGGTTTGGGGGTGTTAATTTTGGAAAATGAGGATGGACTCGGAATCGTCCGCACGCGTGCTAGTTAGTACTACTTTGTGTGGAACACCCTACCTCACTGAAAGCGTTCCAGGATTGAAGATTCTTATCTGAATGTACTCTGAAGCAGTTCCGATAGCTTGTACCAAGTTAATTGTGCAAAACACTGTGACTAAACCACCATTCTGTGCAATGCTGGATAACATTCATGTAGCATATAGTCTTCGACTTTCACAAAATATTAAAAGCTCAATGAATAGTAAAATCGAAAATGGAAGCTGGTAGCCTAAAACAAATATGCTAAATTTTACCTTTTTATATTAATACGGAATTTAGTTTTTGTAGGTATATTAGGATCATTAAAAAAGGAGAAAGAAGCAATTTTCATACAGTTTTTTGTTTCAGATAAATAACATGATTCTAAGAATGCATATATAAACATACATAGAGAACAAATATTTCAGCAAATATTGATGCAGAGGAAATGCAGTTGATATTAAACGTGCATTTCGGGAAATCTTTGGCTAAAATAAAAGAATTATCTTTTTAAATTTCTGTGAAAGATGCTCATATTCTTTGTAAAGTCTATAATGTAATGAAATTCAAATGTAAGTTTATTAGTTGGCTTTTCGTATTTTAGACATTCAATCATATTTTTTTATTTCAAAGATAATGAATGATATCTTGGCAATTTTAACAGAACTGCGTATATAACTCTGCAACTTTCCGCTATTAAAAGGGATGAAAATTTAACTTAGAAATGATAGACATATTTTAGAATATGTCTGTTTAGAAATAGTTTTAAGCAAAAGGATCTCATATTCCCTGTTTTCACTTTTCCTTAATCCCATAAAGAAAAATATCCCACATATTTTTTTTTTAAATCAGAGCCGAGTTAAAGCTGGAATTTTTAAAGTTCAGAGTAACATATTACAATTTGACACGATGATAGTAATAACTAAGATTATCAGCTGATAAAATACACCATTTTGACGACTAACACGCATCTACTTAAGGTTTCAACTATCGCTGTTTCGTATAAAAAACAAATACATCCATCTCCCTTTATGTACATAATACTGGGATTTGAAAATGTTTTCCAGTATATATCTTTATATATTTGAATCAACATAAACATTGATATATTTGAATGAACATTGTCGCAAATCTCCTTTCAAATGTATGTGACAAATTTTGATCATATACATTTTTCGAATTTTATGATATGGACCTCTTGAAACAATACTCTCTTTTAAAACGTCTTCCTTCGAAAATCGTTCATATCTAAGAGCACAATTAAATATAATTATTACAAATAAAATCTAATCCGATAATTATACCCTGTAAAATAATATATCCGACAAAAAAAATCTACTGGAAGCTTAAATGGTCAATATAATCAGATTTTGTTATGTCTTCAAAAAATAAAATGAGATAAAAATTAAAAAATTTCAGCCAATTATCTAAATACGTATACCCAAAAAATGAATGCTGAATAGGTTTTTAAATTAAAAAATAATAATTTTCTAGGTCTCTATATCTGTACCTATAGATGTAAAGACGTAGAACAGTTTTCAAATACGTTATAAAACGCAAAATACTACTACACTGTAAGCAATGATATGGGTTTTACCCCTATCTCCTACGATATTTGAAATTTCTTCCTTGGTATGTTTTTTCTGACAAAAAAACTATTTTAATGTTCATAATTCGAACAGAAATTTATTATTAAGGAAGTACTCTAGAAAGTGATCGTTTTATGCAGTAAAACAAGTTATGGAATAAATAAATTTTGTTATTTTAGCTAATTAAAATCTTTTAAGTAGCCCTTGATTAAGGAAAGCGTCACAGCGCATTGAAATGCTATAAAATGCATCAGTGGAGAAGAAAACTGTGTTTAAACAGTTTTTAATAACTATTGTCTAAAGTAAAGCATAGATTATATTTTGCTTCAGTAATAAAATCTTCATGATTTTATAAGTTTCGTTTCATTTTATTTTAATATACTTTAGAGACATTAGGTATTTTTCGGAAGACGGCAAGATGAAAAATTAGCAAATGCCTTCGCCGGGAATCGAACCACGGACCTCTGGAATACCGGCCCAGCGTGAAGAACCACTACTCCACGAAGGCACGCTAAGAAGGCAGGAGAAATACCTTATAATACTATAGGTACTTAAAGAGAAGTAGAGAAGAAGATACTGAAAAAATAGCTGATAAATTATATTATACGTAGTTTTATACGGTTTCATTTGACACCACTGGGATTACTTCGACAGGTTAGGCGAAGCATATAATTCGCATTTAATTCATTAGGAAACACACTCCATTTTAACATGGGAATCGAAATTTATGCTTAAACAGATACTGCTAAATGGATAGTGAAATATTTTAATAGCTGTTAGGCTGAAACAAGTTCACGTTTTTAATTACGTTCTTCCATACAGATGAATATTATCTTTCTGAAGAGGAAATTCGTAATTCATACATGAATCGTATGTGAAAAGCGTAGTAATAGTAATTGTACCAAATGAACCTAAAGTTTACAGAAATGCAGCTTAATGCATTTTGTAAAGAATTAAATTCATTCCTAAATAGTCTAATAGTATAGTGGACAACACATACAGCGACCAGTTGAAAGAACTCGGGTTAGATTTTCTGCCTGACCGAGTTAAAAAGAAAAACGTAACAAAAATCTAATGGACAGAAGTACAATATGGTGTACAGCAACTTATCATTAATTTAATCTGACCATTACATGGTGCCTTCTTTGTCCACTTGCTTTTACAATATAGGCAATGCAAGGAATTAAAGCAACGTTAAAATGGTATTATACATAGCACATCCAGATAACGGCTGGGAGATTTCGTTTACAACTTTTTGCATAAACAAGACTAATTTTTATAGAACTCTTTCTCGGAAAAACTTTTACTGCAACTTAAGCTAATTGTCTAGTGATTTACATTTAAGAGGTAAATGAAACGGTGTGGCTACATTCTATTTAAATTACATAACTTTTTTTTGCTCTTTTTAGCAAAGCAAAAGTGAATTAATAAAAATAAGATATAATTATGCATCACTGGCTGCAGTTATATTAATTATTAATGAACTATTGACTGATCATGTTACTGCGAAGAAATTTGAAATAATACAAAATCTGAAGCTGATTCTATTCCGTCTGCACATAGATCGGAAAAATACTTTTTCTTAAGGTCACGATAATTATAGTGCGGATTATTAAACCAATTTAGTGCATGAAACATATAGTTTAAGGTCGGTAAAACGCTCGCTCTCTTATTCCACATATTTTAGAAGAATTGCAACTGAATTCATTTTCCTTGCTGTAATTCCAGCCGTAATCCCAAGACGTGCACACTCGATTGTAGAACCTATTTTCTGGATCTTGTTTCCAACGTCGTTTCAGGTAACCCGCTCTTCCTTTACCATCATGACTAATTCCTAGAAATTATAAAAGCAAAGCAATCAGGAGAATAAAGGAACAAAGAGGGGCATTCCAGGCATGAAATATATTTAGTACAAAACTTAAACTAAATTACCAGATGTACTTGTAAATGGCACATAAAAATCGACATTTAGTAACACAAGTCTTTTAGAGATAACACGAATTCAGTTATCAAGAATACTCTAAGAGCTAAAAAAGGTTTACCTTAATTTTAGTTCAATAATTTAATAATTAATTTATATTGCTTATGTTATAATCTATATTATTAAATTAATAATGAATTTCTGCAATTACTTTAATTTAAATAAAGAGTAAAAATATTTTAATATTTTACTCTTTGTTTTAGTGCATTTTATTACATAAACGTTACATTAAAACATTTTGACATGAATTTCATTTCATATTTCTTTTCTACAGAACAGAGAAATATTAAAGAAATGAAATCTCTATCTCTGAAAGCAGGAAGAAATTTCCTCCAATCAATACATCAATGCGTAAATTTACTTTTGAAAGAATTCTAAAGTTTTCAAAAATATGTGACGCTTAAAAAGAAAAAAATGCACCATTTTATTACAGTTAAAATCTGCCATTCATATTAAAATATAAAGTTTAAAATATCCTATTATATTTTGACCATTTTCATTTTAAAAAGACAATTTAAAAGAAATTTTTGATTTGATTTTATAATATATAGACTAAAGGAAGATATTATAAACAAAATATTTTATGATACATAAATTAAATGCATTTTAGTATGAAATAATGAAAAAAAAAAAAAAAAAAAAAAAAACTTGAGTGATTTAAGAAATTGTAAACTGTAAAATTGTAAAAATCTGTAAATTGTTTTGGAGGTTGGAAACTTCACTTAAAAGAATAATTTCTATACTATTTTAAAATGCAAACGTCGAATTTTTGAAACGATTATTTCCAACAATAAGTGAATATGAGTTAAATTTATAAAACATTAATTATATAAAAAAATCTATAGAGAATTTCGAAAAAATCGCTATGACATACACTAATACGTACAAGGGCAAAATTCCAAGAAAATTGGATCTAAAGTCACTTCAGTGTTTGATCTAAAATAAAGGTTAAATTTAAAACTGCCTATTAGAAACTGCGTAAAAAACACGACAGAAACTGTGACGAGAAATTAATAATTATCATTACATTTGGCTAAACTCTTGCTTTAGTCTATGAAAAGTGTACGTTAGGTTTCTCTCACTACAATATTACATTGTTAAAAAAATTTTTTTCCCAGGTAACCTTTAACAGCTGCTTCATAAAAAGTTCCTACCGGAAGTGAAGAGTTTCTCTGCCTACAATAGTATACTGCAAAAAAGGCCCTTTTACAGGCAATCCGTAAACAGCTGCTTTAGTCCATGAAAAGGTGTAAGTATATTTTCTCGGTTTGCAGTATTATGCATGAAATGCTGTTTTACAAGTGACTCTGGAAAAAAAAAAAAAAAAAAAAAAAAAAAAAACATGAGGATTGGCTGCGTATTTTCTGTTAATTATAGGACTATCTATTCTTCCCGGTTTTAAGAAATTTGAACTTTTGAACTTCAGAATTTTGGAGTTTTTTAATAATCTTTCTCTGGATGAATTACAGAAATTTTATACTTGATATATATATTACTACTCTTGCAAATGATCTTACACTCATCTTCATCAAGGTCTTGATCTCTGTCTGGTATATATTTCACAAAACATTTTAGCCACGCATTGATTAAATAAACAGTGGCGCATATTGTATCTAACAGTTTGATTTTGCAGTCCTGTCGGAATGCCTGTGTGGCATACATAAGTGAAGAATTATGAGTCAAACAATTAGTACGTCACGGATCATATACCGGTGCATTTGATTCTTGAGGTATAGCCTGCTTCCAATCGAACAGGCTCCATGGATATGATGACGCGTCACAGAAGACTTTCCACACTGCCTCGAATAGTGCATCCAGAAAGGAGGAGGACGTTTAGAGGACATTATTTTTATATTTCACTGATGTTTGTGCTGTCATTTCTGTGCACTGTAATAATGTCTATCTATATGCTGATATTTCACAATTACTTGCTGCAAGCACTCACCATTTACTTATTGCCATTTTAAATTGGTAGATAAAATACGCGCATTTCTATTTATCATTAAGAGTATTTCTATTTATCATTTTTATTATTTATTATTATAGTAAGAATACTGTTTATGCATTTATTACTCAGTTTAAGATTTCTATTATTTCTTTTTTCACTATTTAATCACTTCTGTGATATAAAATAAAACAGAATAATAAATGTTAAGAAAATAGAAAAATTGATGAAATACTTAAATATAAATACTCCACCTAAAATAAATACCTTCTCTATATTAATCGTAAAGATTTGCAAGTGATTTATGAATTATATGGCTAATATAGAAACCACAGGTTAGTATAATAACAATAAATTTACGATTTATTTTAGAATAAATTCTTTGAGTAAAATAGAGATTCTCTTAACTAAAATGTTACGGTCCAGGACGGATTATAATATGCAAACAGTTAGTTATGCGTAAAGATACTACAGTAATATTTTAAAACAGTTTTCTGAGCCGTGTTCTAAATTGCTATATGTCATGGTTAATTTGCCAGAATGTTTCAACTTTCAGTAATTTATATTACTCATTAATTAAGAACATTATTCCTTAATATTCTAAAAACCTGCTCATGATTCTATCCTTTCTAACTAAAGCTGGAAATGTTAGAAACTTATTATGGTTTTTAGTTATAAAAAAATTACGTACAATGCAGGTGCAGAATCAAATGATTTTAAATTCACCTGAGTTTGCGCCTCATAAAACGTCACCTGGAAACAGAAAACTCAAATATTCTTTGGCCGTCTTTACACATATGCTTTGCTTTAGCACTAGAGACGTTAGTTAGTCTCAAAACGCAATTTTGTTGTAACCTTCGAAGCAAAATGGAATGAAAAATACAATTTAACATTATTATAACGAGTACTAGATGCATAATTAAAAATTAATTGTTAATCAAACATTAAGAACCCGTGACTTTGTTAGGTAGTTTCATATTTGGAATCCAGAATTCGGTCTCTCACTTCTCTAGTACATATTACGTATAGAAGATTCTATCTCTTTCAAAACATTTATAATATTTGTTATTTAATAACCTTAATTAAATTTTGAAAAAAATTTAAAGTATCTAAAAGCATTATGAGGTTTCTGAAATACATATGTTAGTGCGCGGCAAAATTTTGCTAGAATTAAACGATACTTTTTTACGGGAAAGGGATATTGTGTTGCTATTCTCTACACCGTCGTATACGCAGTAATACACAAAAAATATAGCAAAGATAGAATGATAAATTATGTAAATTAAAAAACGTAGATTAAATTAAGAATGATAAATCATGTAACATTAAATAATTTAACATAAGTGTGAGTTTCTCATACATGAAAGAAAACTATGCTACTGTTTAAGCAATAAAAGACACAGACATAAAGAAAAAAATTACTGTGTTATTTAAAGTAATATCATGGTAGAAGGAATTATGTAGAATCTCAAGAGATGATGGAATGATAGTTTTCATGATTTTTAATCGAATCTCTGCAGCAACATTCTAACATTGTTTTCAAATCGTAGTGATCGGGTGTATAAAGCTGTGAAATGCTGAGAGGTAGCCTCGACTTCTGTGTCTGATAATAAAAGGATATAATTGCATGTTTTTGTGTGTAAGTATAAATACGAGACAGGTTCTTTTTTTAAGATAATCTTTCGTGATGCATCTCTACTCATAACTAAAATAATCATCATGCGCTTTACCATATTAAAAAAAATGCAATTCAATTATAATCTGTATCGAGCTTGCTTTCATGTGGTTATGATGGATATTTCATTGGAAAGATGATACTTTCCAGTCTGAGATAAACTGGAGAACCATTCATGACTACCAATACTGGCATCAGCTGATATAAAGGCACTATTGTAATTGCAAAGACTTAGTACGTATTCTACACGGAACTTTAATCTTAAACTTAGTGGTTTCTCGACAGATTTCTTATGCCAAACGTCATTTAAATTATCTTCAATAATTCATTTAATCATCAATTAATCAATATAAAGATAAACTGTGCTGTGTTCGATTGCCACAACCATATGATGAGAGTAAATTTTGTTATTAACTTATTTATCACTAAATTAACGGAATAAAAAAAATTAGTTCCCTCTAGAAATTCGGGAAATTTCTGGTGTGTCACATACATTTCTGGTGTGTCTGGTGCATAACGAATCGCAAATATAAACCTATTTTGTTTTCGTTTATGACTCACGTATGATTGAAAATGTACTCACATATGATTGAAAAGAATTACTTTGTAAGGTCTGATTTAAGAAATACTTTACAAAATATACTTAAACTATATACTATATTTTCACTTTCGCATTTTCATAAAGTTCTATAAATATTCAAGATGGAACGATTAAGTGTAAAGAAAATTATAGTAGAAAAATCTCTTCAAACCAACTCTATAAATATTGTTTTTATTCTGTTCGATCTTTTTTTAAGGATATAAATACTTTAAAAAACAAACTCTATAGTTTAAACGTTTAAAAATACATTTATAGAAAGTATGTTGTAATTCAAATGCTTTTGCTCTGGATGTGCAGTTTTATTTTATATTTGATACGTGTTAGTACAATAATTTTTATAATCTCGAAAAATATTTTTATACCTTCAATAGTATTATAAATTAAACGTCAGAAGAATTGAGAAGGCGGGTTGAAGATTAAGGCTAGTAATTACATCACAATTTCATTTAAACTTACGCTTTTGAACTTCAAAATAGTACATTATTTTAGATACTCTATGTAAATTATATAAAGTTCTGTAGGTTTTGAATAAAACAAATCTACAGTTTATAGTGTAAACAAATCTCATAGACTCTCAAAACATTATACAATACAAACAAATATACAAATATAATATTTTTGCGAAACAAGGA